AATGTTCTGTACACCTTCTTCTCTCTCCCCCTTCCACGCACACATACACACACATACATATATATATATATATAAATACACACACACACACACACGCACACACACACACACACGCGCGCGCGCACACACACACACACACACACACACACTGGCCCATCGAGTTGGTGCAAACAATAAGAGGCCGGTGACGTGGTGCCAGGTGAACAGCAAGGTGGCTGTATTTGAAGCGAGGGAAGGTGGGGCGGGGGGGAACGAAGAGGACGAGGGCCGAACCAGCAGCCCAGGGCGGGGGGACTGAGAAAGCAGCAAGAAGTATACACATGAAAAGGCACTCAAAAGGCCCCGCCACTCTGGGCAGTTGGGTAGAAGAAAAGCAGCGAGGTGTTCTGCCGAAGGTGGTCCAAGACCGGTGTCACGTCGAATTCCAGCGACCGGCTCATGTCCAGCAGCTGCAGGGAGGAGTTGGTCAGGAAGAGATTCCCCAGGAGAGGGAGAATCCCCTCCGGGGCAGGGGCATTTGGCACTGTGCACGCCTCCATCCGCAGTGACCGGAGGACGTTGTTCGACAATAGTCCGGTCAGGATGTGTGACATGCCGGCCAGGCCGAGGGTGTTGAAGCTGACATTCAGCGACAGGAGTGTCCGGTGGCCCTCCAGCAGGTTGCGCAGGACGCCGGCCGCAAAGTCGTTCAAGTGCGTTTGGCTGACATCCAGATGTGTGATGGCGGTGGAGTTCTTCAGCCCGGCCACAAGGCGCCCCAGGGTCCCATGCGTTTGGGGAGTGTCTACATGGCCGGCAGGGCGGCGGAAAGAGGAGGAGCAAAGGTGTCAGGGGGAGAAGGGGGGTATAGGAGGGGGGGGGAGAGCGCGAGAGAGAGAGTGGGCGAGGGAGAAGCCCATATCCGGCCAGCGGAAAGGCCATGCAGGGGAAGGGACGGCAAGAGGCATGTGCCACATACGACTGAGGTCCAGGCTCACGAGGGCAGGACACCGCCCAAGTCCAGTGGCCAGGGCAAAGGAGAAGGACGACGAGAAGTGGCACTTTGACAGGCGGACTGTTTGGAGAGTTGGCGACTCGAGGAAGGTCTCGCCGGGATACTCCTGATCGAAAAGGGTGCCTGATAAGGAGGAAATGTTAGGCCGGGGAGCAGACACGCAATGAGGGAATGGCGAGGGAGGCTGGCCGGTGAAGAAGAGAGGGGCCATCTGCGCAGGAGACATGCAGGGAAGTACCACTCAGATCGAGGGAGGTCAGCGTCTGGTGCGACAAAAAGAAGCGTCCGAGGGAGTTGATCACCTGGCCAACAGCGAGGTTGACGGCTGGATACCGGGGGAGCACGGGAGGCGCAGACAGAGAGAGAGAGAGGGGGGGGGGAGGGAGGGAGGGAGGGAGGGAGGGAGAAACAGAAAGGACGCGGGGGGAGAAGAGTCAGTGCTGTGGTAGCAGGAAAGCAGCAGGGCCAGGCATAGAGAAGGAACATACCGGAGGCTTGCGCGGAGGGATGGATGACACTGGACGAGTACTGGAAACCTGGTGAAGTTGCAAAAGACAGTCGGCGGAGGAGGAAAGGAGAGCAGGGAGGGGGGGGGAGAGGGAGGGTCAGCATGAAGGCCAGAGCGAGAAAGGCCGGAAAATGGTCGCACCTTGCCATTCCAGGGACTCCAGGCTAGTCATCTTGGTCAGCTCGTCGACCATGGACTCCATGAGGGCAGGTGTGGTGGTGAAATCTGATTGGTGACGGGGGGAGGGAGCACGGAAGTCAGCGAAGCGGCACGAATGGAAGGCCGAGGAAAGGAATGCGTACTTGAAATGGCAAGCGAACGGAGTGCGCTTCCGAAGGTGGGAACCGAATTGCCCGTCTCGTTGAGGTAGTTGTTCACTGTCGGGCGGGCGAGAGAGAGAGAGAGAGAGAGAGAGAGAGGGTAGGGGGGGGGGAGGAGCAGATAAAGACGCGAGAGAGGGTTTTCATGGGATTAGATAAGAGTGAGGAGGTACCAACGGGGGAAGGGGAAAAAAGGCCGGACAAAGGCAGCAACGGCAGGGGGGAAAGGACACGACGCACAGCTGATGTCAAGCGAACGAAGTGAGGGTACACCCTGCACAAGCTGGGTGATGAGGGGCCAGGAGCTGGAGTCCAGATGGCAGTCTGGAGAAAAGGAGGACAGTTAGACCGGCACGAGGACATTGCACAGCCGGAGGAAAGGGACACAGGGAGGATGGGCGCACCTCGCAGCAGCAGCTTCTCGAGCTTTGGCAAAGTTGTGAGGGCGGGGACGAAGAGGGCAAGCCCGGCCGAAAGCAAGGGATTATCTGCACGTGAAACCCGGCACACGGGAGGGGCGTCAGTTGAGGGGGCTTACGCGTAGGGCGACAGCCGGGCGGGAAAGGGCCGGCGCACATGATAGACTGAGAGACTCGAGGCTGGTGAGGCCGCCGAGGGACGGGGCAATGACCTTGGCAAAGTCCTGGGTCATGCTGCAATCTGTCGTGGAAAGGGGTGACGGGGGAGGGAAAGACACACGAGTCAGTCACTGCCATGCAAGAGGCTGAGTGGAGATGCAGGAATGAGGTGGATCCAGGGGGGTATACCTGAAAGTGACAGATGAACCAAACCGGAGAGCTGGGAGAAAACTTGGGCAAAGTGCTCGGCTGTGCTGGCCAGAAGGAGCGCATTTCCTGGGGAGGGCAAAAGGAGGCCGAGAGAGAAAGGGGGGGGGGGGGGGGGGG